TCTGCCCTAGGTTCCACACTAGCTGCCGTACCTGCACCCAACTATGGGGATACCCATTTAAATCCTCTGGCTCCATTATTGTTGATTTTATGTTCTCTATTTAGAATATATAACTTATATATATATTTTTTTTGTTTGATATTCCTTTATCCGCTACCTACACTTTGGAAATGTAATTCGAAATTTATATATATTTGCTGAATTCGGCAGTTTAAAGTAATTTTTAGAATTAAGATAACGCATAGTAAAATTTACTGATCTTATAATTAGATAATCATTGATCATCAAAGTTCGTTGTGAATTCATAATTCTTTAATTTTTTTTTTGCTGTTCGACCAGACTTTATTTATTAAATAATATATTATTATTTTATGGTAGTATGAATAATTAATAACGGTATAATAATTCTTGCTTTATACCATTTAATTTCTCAGTTCAATTGTATCTCTGTGATTATCTTGATTAAAACTTGAATTTGCGATATAATAAAAGTATAGATGAGCGAAGGCCAAAATATAATAATGTAAATTTGAGCTTAAAACAAGGCCAAAAAAAAAAAATTAATGAAGCACTATTCTGAAATATAAGAACTATATTTTATACAAACTTATCGCATCACTTTAAAATAAGCATCTCTAACAGGTATACAATATTCAAATAATGAATTTAACAAATTGCAAGAATTTTTTTTTTAATCTCTACTAACCGACCTCAATGAAGCCATTTAGCTTTTTTTTTTAAATTTTTATTTTTTTTTTTTTATCTTTTTATTTTTTATTTTTATTTTTATTTTATTTTATTTTATTTTTTTTTTTATTTTTATTTATTTATTTTTTTTTAATTTTTTTGTTATTGTACAAGCAAACTGAATAATCGTTGCATCTATAAAATATAAGAAATAAGTATTTGGTTGGTAAAAAATAAAGGTATATTAAATTCACTTTAGTATTATCACAAAAAAAGACCAATTTACCGATTAGATAAAAAGATTATGCGCAATCGCTTCCAAAAAATCTATTAATAAGCGGTTATTCCGATCATTGACGATGGTCATTATCCTTCTCTCTCTTTCGACCAAACTCCATTTTTGCTTAGGACGAGATTCACCATAAAAAGTACATTCAATTTGGGACTCAACCAATAATTGTTCCCTTTGCATTTTCTGAACTATTGAAAAAACACTTACACGAGATCCGCCAACCAACGTTGCCCAACGGTTGTGCCATCCTTCAACGGCGTTTTGGGTTCTCGGAATGCCTAAATCGACTGAATCATGTACTGACCATAATTTAGGTGGGAAAAGAGGTGAACCACGAATTTCATGACCACCCCTTGTTTCTCGCCTGATTTCACCAAGTACGTACGTTTCCTCAAACCATAGAACCAGTTTATGTGCTTCTTGAGGCAAGTGTGGTTTCAAAATATTAAATGCTGATGGAATTTCGTGAGGTGGTAGAAAGGCCAATGCAAATAAGCATCGTATCTTGTTACTAAAATGAAGATCGTTTCCATATTGACCTGCATTACATAATGATGGTAACGATAACGATAAGTAAATTATGATGACAAATCATCAATTCTTTCTACGTATAACAAACTGATGGAAAAAAAAATCAGTTTTAGTTTTTTTTTTTTTTTTTTAATACTAAACTCATAAAATTTTAAAATTTAGAGTTCGTTATATTTAGAGTTTGTTATAGAAGAGTTCGTCATATTTAGAGTTAACTATATTAGCGTTAAATTAATCAATTTTACTTGCTAATCCATATTTTTGTATTCTTTTCTATCTATTCTGGCCCAGATAAAAGAAACATGATTTATTGATGACTTCAGGGAATATATATTGTGATGCGTTTATGGCTGCTATCTCGAAGTCAGTTATAATTCTTGGTGGGTTTAATTCAATTCCATTTTCATCTGCGAAGTCAATTAAACTCTCAAATAACCAAATATATTGCTCCTCAGATTTATGCGTCATTAGTGAATACACGCGGGGGAGAATGCGAAAATTATCTGCAGCACCAACAGGTGCGTGAATAGTGTAGAGCTGACGAAATATCGTGGGTACTGTGTCAAAGGTACCGTCCATAATCCAGAAAGATGCCCGAGATAGATATCGAATATTTTCAACCGTAGTGTATATAAGTATTCGATTTTGACCAACTAATTGATCCTTGATCAAAAAAGGGTTACCATTCAATGTAAGTCGAAGGGATTCTGGAAGATTAAGCTCCATAATATTTCGTGGTTGGGGTGGCAATTTGGATTGTCTAACACGATTAATGGTTTTACACAAAGAGTTCACTGATGGAAGATATGGGCGAACTTCCTCAGGCGTACTAATAATATTATCTTGAATTATCTTGACAGGTTTATCTCTTGATACTTTAGCTTGTTGTTTAATTTGATGTACAACTTTGGCAACTTCGGGCTTATGCGCTTGTGGAGCATGCTTGTGTTTGGAGAAACTTTTAAGATAATGTTTATTATTTCGTAATTGTGTTACAGCTCGACCCGTACACCCGTTGAATTTTTTTTGGTCGCAACACCAATAGTAGGTATTTTTACAATTCTTCTCTTTTGTCATAAGATATCCATCAACTTTAATTTTAATGCCACCTTTTTGTGATGGTACTGTTTCACATTCTTCATTCATTTTATAGCAGGAAAAAAAAAAAAAAAAAGAAGTTAATAAGGAAAAAAAGAGCTTTCGCGATCAGGATTTTGTGGTTAAGAGAGAATTTTCACAAAAAAAAAAAAAAAAAAAAGGTATTTATATCAAAGAAAAAAAATATCGATTGTTATAATCAAATTAAAAGTTTAATAAATTATTTTTTATTAATTAGTTAATATATCACATTATCTTTCAAGCGTCGGGACGTTAAATGCATAAATAATGAAATGATGTGAAATGATGCGAAAGGGATATAAAGCAAAGGAAGTATAATTTATAAATTTAATATGAAATCATATCATAATTGTTAGAGAATATATTAGTCGAACTAGTAAAGTATAATATTACTAAACTAAACTAATATATTATACGTTTCATCATGATTAGAGGTATTAGAGGTATTGGTAAAATTAATTCATCAATTTTACTAATTCAGCACCAAATATACCAAAGTGGTAAAATTGGTATGCCACTCTTATTTTACTTTGCTAGCATTTTTTTTTTTTTTTTTTTTAGTCCCTCTCAGATAGGACATACCTGTTATTTCGTTAATTACGAGAATTACAAGTAAGAAACTATCAAATTAGGATTTAGATAAACTATCAGATATAACGAATCTATCTATGCTATTTCACTAAATACTTTCGTCATTACGTGAAAATAAGCAATATTCGGTCATCTAAAAATAGGTATTTTGAATTTTTTTAATGTTGTAGTGACTTCAAAATATTTTTTTTGTCTTGTTTAGTTACTTTTACTATTTTTTTTTTTGTTTTTTTCATATTAATAACAACAACCTTAACAATTTTTAAAAATAATTTAGATCTTGTTTATTTTTTGTTTCTTTTTAGTTTTTTAAGTCTTATAAAAATTTTTTTAATAAATTTGCTACTATTTTCTAACTTTATTTTTTTAATATTTTTTTTTTTTTACTAGTGATGCTCAATTGCAACGATAGATCAAAATAAAAAACTCAATCACTGCTTTAGAGGATTCTAAATAGTTTATCAAAAATTTTACAAAATATGTGTATCAATAATAAAAATCCATAATAAAAGTATGAAAATGCTTGAGCAACACATATTCACTTTAATAGCTATAAAGTTTTGATAAGCCAGCACAAGAAGAAAAAAGGTAGTTCAGGGAAAAAAGTTTTTTTTTACTGAAATGGTAAATTCACTGTTCATTTTTTACTGTTTAAAATTTTTCTTTCACGTAATAAACCACCTTACTTATTATTATTAAAGCTCGATTGATCGATTAAAAATACTTTATGCTAATTATAATTTAATTCCAAATACATTTTCGACATACTTTGACCCATTGATTGAGGCGCTTGAGAATAGAGATTGTACCCGTCAAAAAAATCTTTACCCGGGTATTATTAAATTATCCGGTTATCTATTATAGCCATATAATAAAATGCCTACCCAGGTACAATCTCTACTTGAGAATGCCCTCAATCACTGCTTGAGAGAACTCTAAATAGTTTATCAAAAACTTTACAAAATATGTGTATTAATAATGAAAATCCAAATAATAGTAAAAAGTATGAAAACACTTTATTCGCTTTAATAGGTTCGGGCTAAAAGTTTTTCTTTTTTTTTTTACTGAAATGGTAAATTCACTTCATTTTTACTATTTAAAAATTTTCCCTTCATGTAATAAACTACCTTACTTATCCTAATGAAAAATACTTTGTTAATTAGAACTTAATTCCCGACACATTGATTGAGGTGCTTGAGAATGCCTCAATCACTGCTTTAGAGGATTCTAAATAGTTTATCGAAAATTTACAAAATATATGTATCAATAATGAAAATCCATAATAAAAGTATGAAAACGCTTGAGCAACACTTATTCACTTTAATAGCTATAAAGTTTTGATAAGCCAGCACAAGAAAAAAGGTGGTTCGGGACAAAAAGTTTTTTACTGAAATAGTAAACTCACTGTTCATTTTTTACTATCTGAAATTTTTCCCTTCACGTAATAAACTACCTTATCTTAATGACAAACTCGATTGCTCGATTAAAAATACTTTCCGCTAATTAAAATTTAATTCTAAACACATTTTCGACATACATTGACCCATTGATTGAGGCGCTTGAGAACGCTCTAAATCTAAAATCTGCAAAAGTAAGTTCCAATTAGATGAACCTCTACTGCTAAATACGATTTTATAGTGATCGAAATAGTGCACAAGTATTATGACGTAATTTTACTATTGTTATGATATTTTCAATAATACGAATGACAAATTATTGAGATATGCTCAAACATTATGATTTCTTTCCTTTTGTTTTTAGGAAAATCGTCATATTATTACTGTGATTTTCTAATAATTGTAGTGATGCTTAATTGCAACGATAGATCAAACTAAAGATCTCAATCGCTGCTTGAGAAAATTCTAAATAGCTTACCGAAAATTTTACAAAAAATGCGTACCGCTAATGAAAATCCATAATAAAAAGTATGAAAACAATTGAGCAATACTTTATTCACTTTAATACTTATAAAGTTTTGATAAATCAGCACATAAAAAAAGGTGGTTCGGGACAAAAAGTTTTTTGACTGAAATGATAAACTCACTGTTCATTTTTTACTATTTAAAATTTTTCACTCATACCTTATTTATCTTAATGACAAACTCGATTGATCGATTAAAACTACTTTCCATTAATTAAAATTTAATTCCTGACATACTTTGACCCATTAATTGAGACGCTTGAGAATGCCCTTGATTATTCAGGATTTTGACTATTCGGGATTTTGAACTAACTATTCAGAATTTTGAACTGTCGAGATTTTGACTATTCAGGATTTTGAATATCGGGATTTTGTTTCCGTCGAGATTCTGTTTTTTTCAGAATTTTGTCTTGTCGGGATTTTGTCTTTTTCGGGATTATGCATATTGAGATTATAACCTGTCAGGATTTTGGGTTTCGGGAATCCGGGGTAGAACCAAAAAGTAAAGGTACTGACAGTTTTGATTGAGTATGAATCAGCAAAAAGAGGTTTCTTTTGAATGAAGTAGTCATTAGGAATGTATTTGAAGCTGTAGTGCTCTTTGAGTATATCTACATATCTTCAAAATTCTGAGGTATCAATAGAGTTGCAAGAGAAATAATGATGGACTGCTAAGTTGAGATTTTGGGAAGTAAAGAGAAACCATGGTCTAGCTTTTGGTAAGTTGAAGTAGTTGGAGAATTCTTTCTATAATGTAATATTTTTTTTAATTTTTGTCGATATTCAGAAAAATGTGAAAGACAAGAGTACTCAGTAATAAGAAAAAGATCACAAATCTCTACATGTAGGTCTGAGGGATTATTCAGAAGTGGTTCAAGAATAGTTAAGAAGTAGCTATCTGGAAGTTGGTCAAAAAAAAAGATTTTTCTAAGCATAAGTACAGTAGCTCTAGTATATTTGTGATCTTGAATTAGTAACAGGAAAGGAAGTATTTGTTGGATAGAAAGGTCTATTTGAAGTAGGTCCTGGGGTAGTGAAACTAGTAGTGATGCATGAGCTTTGTTAAGCAGGCTTCATATATCTTCGAAGCTAAGTAGGCAGGCAATTTGTGCAAAGTTAAGACAGTATATAATTGTTCAAGTGCAATTGTAAGGGTCATTAGTTACAAAGTTCAGATTGCAGATAAAATCTAGAGCAAGTTTTGCTTTAAGTTTCAGATATATTTGGTCTCTGTTATACTTGTTGATAAAATGAACATTATATGTCTTTTTGTATTTTTCAATTGCCATTTGTAAGAGTAAATTAAATTCTTTTTGATGTTGGAGCTAGACTTTGTTTTTTGTAAAGGACTTAAAAAATGCTGAGTCAAGGTACTTAAACTTTGTTTTAATCACTTGAGATAAGTTATACTATATAGAGTTGGTTTGAATTTTGTGAATAAAAAATTCTTGGAGTATCTTCTCAGATGAGAAGGCTTCTATAATTGTATTGTTGTGCCATGTTGTCAGATCAAAATTGATAGTGTGAGCTTTAGCCAAAGCCACAGCTACCGAGTTGTACCAGATAAGTGAATGGTCTTCTTTTCAATTGTGTTTGAAAAGATTAAAGGTAAGAGCTTTGCTGTATAACTTTTTTTGGGGTACAATTAATTCTATTGTGATATTGGATTGGATATCTATTTTGTTTTCAAGATCCATACTTGATTGGGTTAGTTGTAAGGGAATATTGGGCTGTGATGTTTGTTGGTCCAGGTTCCAAAGATTGGCTTGGATTAGATCAGAGAGCAGATTGGGTACCTATAGTCATTGTTGTGGTCTAGGGCAGGGTGGTCTGTGTATAATTTCCCATACTTGTTTGTTTACTTGAGCCATATAGATCTGTTGTGATGATCATAGGCTGGGTCCTGGTGCTAGGTTCTATATCAGTTTTTATATTGGTTTGTGTATTTTGGTAAGTTCCCATACTTGTTTGTTTGTTTTGTTGCAATGATGTTATTGTTGTATTTGTTGGGGGTTCGCTGGATTGCCCACTTTGAGATAGTGATTCGATAGTAGAAAATGGTGCTGGTGAAGAAAAATAGTTTACTGTTGTGTTGTTACTGTTACCATTTGTTGTAGTTCTTTTCTTTTTTAGCAGAGAAGAGTTATTAGGAGTATTGGCTTTATTGTAACTGTCTGAGGTCCCAGTGGGATCCATCAGAGAAGTGTTTTGTCTATTAGAGAGATAAAGAAAGGTTCGAACACTTCTGGAGTAGTGAGAAGTATATTTCTATCTCTTTTCAATTTATTTGCAATTATTGTAAGGTTGCTTGAGTGTGTTGGATATTGTGTATATTCTAGATTTACTTTAGTTATTAACAATTTTTGTATATAAAATTTTTTTTTCCGTTTATTTGTTTTGTTTACTATATTTTTTGGGATCTATAGGAAAGAGTTTTTTTTTAATAAATTTTTTTAGATTACTAATATTAATTATTTAAAAATTTTAATTAATTAATATTAATTTATAAAACTCT